TCAAAATCTCCCCAGCCCCGGCCTCATCCCATGACTAACCTTCCCTCTCTTCCCCATCTCCTTGACCTGTCTGTCTTCTCTCCTACCTATCCGCTCCTCCTACCTCACTGACCAATCCCCCCCAACTTCCTACCTACAATCATCTTTACTTGCTTCATCTCCGCCTCCTTGACCTGTCCATCTTCTCTCCCACCTATCCGCTTCACCATCCACCTGCTATCACCGCCCCCCCCCCCCCATTTTTTTCAGAAACCCCCTTCCCCCCCCCTATTTCTGAAGAAGCGTCCTGACTCGAAATGTCAGCTTTCCTGCCCCTCTGATGCTGCCTGGCCTGCTGTGTTCATCCAGCTCTACACCTTGTTATCTCAGATTCTCCAGCATCGGCAGTTCCTGCTATCTCTGCAGGTTAGAAGGATTGCACATGCTGTAGTGTCCAGTGTAGGCTAGGTTGGTTAGCCATGGTAAATGTGGCGTTACAGGGACAGGGTAGGGGTCCTGGAAAAAGTGCTATTCAGAGTGTTGATTTAGACTCTGTGGGCCAACTGCCCACTTCCTGCATTGTAAGGATTCTGTGATGGCACAGTAATGTGTATCTGTCAGGGGCTGTTGGTTTTTCTCCTTGCTCCAAACTCCATTTCCATTTACTGACTCCACCCTTCTTCCTGGCTCAACTTTGCTCCTAACTCAGCTCATCTGCTTCTAAAAAACTTGATTCATGACTTCATTACCTCCAGGCTCAGTTATTACAATGTTCTGGCTGATCCCCTCATTCTATCTTCTGTAAACCTGAGGGCATGCCAAAGTCCCATTGCCTTAATTGGCAGAACCTCTCACATCTGGAATAGTAAACTGACGAAAAGTCAAAATCAACCTCACCATCTGCCTTCAAGTTTGAATTGTCCATTAAACTTCTGGTCTGATCACACATTGAAAGATTGGATGGGATACCTAGCAAACTATTCATCAAATGCTTGCCTGGAGCTCATCTGCTCTGTTGGCTTTTACTTTTTTTCTTTTTTCACTGCTTTTTTTCTTTCTTCTGCCTACTTATCTTTTGTGGAGAGCTCACTGGCTTCACTATGTCTGATGCGAGGTTTCTTCCTGCCACCAGTGGCAAAGGGAGTGGAGTCCGTGCTCCTCATGGTGATGGAGGAGGGAGGTGTGTTCCTGGCAGTGGCAGAGGCATGTGAGCTTGGGCCTAGTGCTCAGTAGCTTCAGCATCGGCTGCATTACTGAGATCGGCCCAGCATGGACTCATGGCAGCAACTGCTGGCCAACTGCTTCCTGCTGGCGTTGGTCTCTGCATCGGGGTGGAACAGCCCATGGCTAAGCATTTAACGAGGACCGTAGTCCTGAATTTTTAACTGATTTATTTATTTTTCCAGTTTATACCTAAGATTTTGTACCTAGGTACCTTTGTACTTAACATAGCAGCAGGAATGGTGACTTTTTACAATTTCCACTGTACTTGAGTACATGTGACAATAAAATCCAATTCTAATTCTATCAGTCTTACTACAGGGAACAGAGAAAGAAAGAATAGAAAATAATAGAATCAGAAAGAGGTACGGTAGCTATCTGAAATATCTAATAAATCTCCCCAGCCTGAAAGACTAGGTAAAGCAAATATCCAGCAGCTACACTGTTAAGTGTTTTTGATTTTCTCTGCCCCACTCCACCACTTTAAAGCCTGGCTACTTCAATCTTTATCATTTATTATGTTAAGGTGCTATATAAATGTATGTTGTTATTCCAGCCATATGTAGAAACTATTATATGTTCCAACCACATAACCCAGTTGTATGTAGAGATTGTGCTTGTGTACCCTACTAAAGGTTGCAACTTTTTAAAACTACTGTTACATTGGCAATGGACACATGCAATTACTGTGTTATTTGCTGTGCCGATATAAGAGATGTAATGTTGGCAGTACCAGTATAGAGTTATACATTATAAACTGTGACCGTATATTGTTCATGAATGCCAACTGTTTCAGGCAAAGTTATGCTGTTTGCATGGTCACAATTGTTTTGATGTAAATTTGTAAAACGTCATCACAGTGGGTTATAGTTTCCTGCCTTGTATATTGTAGCTACCCCCATGGTTCCTGCAATTTAACACAAGGTTTGAGTCACAAAGTGGGAGATAATGATTTGATTTGATTTTTTTTATTGACACATGTATCTTGTTACTAAATACAGTGAAGAACTGCAGATGCTGGCGTCAGAGATAACACAGTATGGCGCTGGAGAAACACAGCAGGCCAGGCAGCATCAGAGGAGCAGGAAAGTTGATGATTTGGGTCGGGACCGTTCTTCAGAAGACACTGCTGTGTTCCTCCAGCTCCATACTTATCGTCACAAAATACAGTGAAAGTGTTGTATAGTGTCACCACTCTCCAGCGCCATCTTAAAACACAGAAAAATGAACCAAAACGTAGAATATAAAGGGAGAGAAATAAAGAAAGTGTCCAATTTTACAGTCCTTCTTGTTAAGTGCTCCGTCATGATCCTGGAACATGCTTTAGTTAGGCCCCACTCGCAGCCTCCGATTGCCACATCCCGGAATATGCTCGGGCAGGGCCTATCACCAATGCTTCACTGAGGCGAGAGACTTTAAACAAGAGGAGAAAAAACAAAAAGAAAGAAAAGCAGACCAAAGTGAGTGAGCTGGGGAGTTCAAATGCAGTGCTGCTACTCTGCCGCCATCTTAATGATTTGGTTTGAATACCTTTTCAACAAAGTGACAAAACAACTCAGCAGTGTGTCAAGATATTGTCAATTAGAAGAGGAAAATCAGGAGGAGAGGCCTGTTTGTTCTAAAAAAGCAAGATTGATACAATGACTCTATACCTGACACCAGGAATGGCAAAAAGAGAATTCGTGTCACTAACAGGATCTGGTGACAGATGTACAAAATGAAATGTGCAGTTAGTTTCTGAACATTCAGCCCTGAGATCTTCAGTGCAGTTCCCAGTCTGATTGACAGATCATAAAACTCAGTAATTGCTTGCTAACGAGTATAATTGTCCGCCTAGGACATTCCATTCCATTGGTCCTTGGGTTGTGTGGGTCTTTATGTGGCTGAGCCCAATCCTAGACCCTTCCTAGCCTTTTCCCTGTGCAGGGTGAGCAGAGTGGATCCTGAAGAGGGCAGCTCAGTTGTGAGAGAGCTGCCAAAAGTCTCCCCTGTTTCTGTTCCAACAAATGAAAGGACTAAGTCGATTTCTACTGCCTAGGTGCAGGTTTGAAATTTGGAACTGCCAGATCGTGGAGTCCCTACAGTGTGGAAACAGGCCCTTTGGCCCAACTAGTTCACACCAACCCTCGGAGCATCCCACCCTGACCCATCCCCCTATAACCCACACATCCCTGAACACTATGGGCAATTTACCAAAGCCAATCCACCTAGCCTGCACATCTTTGGACTGTGGGAGGAAACTGGAGGAAACCCAAGCAGACACGGGGAGAATGTGCAAACTCCACACAGACAGTCACCTGAGGGTGGAATTGAAGTGGGCGCTGTGAGGCAGCAGTGCTAACCACTGAGCCACATGCCACCCCACGTGCTGATCTTACACATCATCTCATGCCAATCACCGTACGGCTTGTGTTCATGGCAGGAGTTAGACACTTTGCATGGGAGATATTAAGGACTTGATTTGGATTGCGTTTTGTCTGGTTCCTGCCCTCTGAACCTTACTGTACATGGATGACCCTGTCAGGAGTTGAGAACTTCCAATGGTATTGCTCTTAGCATCGAGGAAGCACTTGAACCTCTCCAACACAGCAAGGTGGTAATGTACATAAAAATGTATATAATGTATTAAAAAGTATATAATGTATAAAAGAAGTATTCATATATAAAATTTGTATATAATGTACGAAAATGTATTCATGTATAAAAATGTATATAATGTATAAAATTGTATAAACGTTAAAGAAACTAGACGTTAATATTCCGTTGTGAAGAGGTTAATTTCCGTATAAATTGATATTATTTGGGTGTCACAAGGGTATACCTTGTTGGAGTAGCAGCATAGACCATTCAGTCTGTGCCCCAGTCCAGTACAGTATAGTCCAGTCCAGGCGGCTCTGTCCTGTAGAACTGGAACTAAACACTGTGTGTCGTCCAGGCAACCGGCAGACGCCGAGCCCCGGCGGGAGAGTCGAGAACAAGGAGCCGGCTGCCAGCCGCAGGAGCCCGAGTACGAGCTGGAGCTGGAGCCGGGGCTGGGGTGGGAGGGTAGGGAGTGGGCACAAGGCCGTGAAAGTGGGGGGACAGCCTGGATCCTGACTGCTGGAGTGTGACCAGAAAAATCTGAGTGTCGGCGGCTGTCTCTAATATATGTGAGTCTGTAACTGTGTGTGTGTGTGTGTGAGAGCACCGTTAGTAAGGAGTTTGGGATCCTGCACTTTATCAATAGGGGCATCGTGTACAAAAGCAAAGAGGTTACGAAAAAACTGGTATCAGACAACACCGACAAGGGGCAAGGCTGCTTGCATGGACGCGATGGATCCAATGGCCTCATCCTATGATTCTGTGCTTAGCTGAACCTGGTCAGGAATGAGCGAGGGGCAGTAAAATGAGGCTGGAATATCTACCATGACTCACCATAGCTTTTATAACATTGTTCATGGACATTAACCAGAGTTTGTATTTACATACAATATTGCATTTAGGTCTGCACATTTCTCTCTCAGTTAGAGTTCTCTTTGGAATCTGCTACGATGCAGAACATTCTAGATCAAAAACTCATTTAAAGCCACAAATTTTACCTCCCCCGCCCCGCCCCCCTTGAAAGTCCAAGGCAGATTAACCTAATTGCTGTCCTTAACCATCAACAAGCTTGATCGTGATTTACCACTTCCTTTAAGGCTAAGGACAAGTGGTGGCATAGTGGTGACATCACTGGACTAAGAGTCCATAGTCCCAGCCCCTGGAAGATGGTGAAATTTGAATTTAACAAAAATCAGAAATTAAACCCTAACCTAATGGTGACCACATACGTACCTTTGTTAATTGTCATAAATAGCAGATCCTCTCACTGTCTTGTATAAGGTAGTGGATGCAAGAGGATTAACCCAAGAGCTAGGCTGAACCGTGACTACTCTGAGACATAACATTTGTGATGGAGCATAGCCAGTTCACATTGTAAAGCAGTTGTAATTGGGAATAGTCATGTCCTCTACTCCTGTTACCATCGTATAATGTAACCTTAAGTATTTACTTAAATGTATTAAACCTTGCCTTTTTATCTGAGGTAAGAGCCCCTTTGACTGAGACTTATTTATGGTTAAACATCATTTGTTGATGTGTCCAACTACTAAAAAGCCTCTAGACTAGCATGGGAGAAAGGATTGTGACAGCATGTCCACACATTACCTGGGTGTTAACACTATCATAAGTCTCCACAAGGAGATTTCCTTTTTAAACCTTAATCAGTGCCATTCCTGCTTTGATTATTCTTCTGTTATTTGAACTATAAAGACTTTCTTTTTTATTTCTCTTCTTTATTTTGAATCAACTCTGCAGTCGCTTGATTCTCTATTCAGGGTTCCCCAAGACTGGACAAATTCATGGGATCTACTAAAAATAACCATAGAATGTGTTGGATAGGGAAAGTTTTTCTTGTGATAACCCAGAGCCAATCAGGGTCTGCGATGTCTTGTCAATCAAGGATGCCAGCCCAATGAGAATGAGCCAAGGGAGGGAGAAACATGGAAGTCTCGTTAGCCTTGTATGCAATGCGTTGGAAACAGCAAAGGGGGTGATGGCATGGATTGGTTGGACTGAAGGGTCTGTTTCTGTACTCTATGACTGTATGATTCTATGACTATGGCAAAGGAAGGGTGGGGTTAGGGAACAGGAGATAAGGTGTGTGATTTAAGCCTTCACCACTTGTTTTGTAGAGAGATGATTTTGTGTATTAAATTGTTAGCCACATTGTTGATGTGTCCAAATTTCCTGAATGCTTTTGACTTCTCCTTCCTGTAACTTATACAGTGTGAAGTTTAAGGAGCTTTCAATGTAATAAGATGAATCCAGACATATTGTACAAGAATATTTGACTTATTGAGTCATTCAGCATGGAAAAGGGCCTTTGGCTCAACTCATGCATGCTGACCAGGTTTTCTACACTGAACTAGTCCTATTTGCCTGTGATTGGCCCCTATCTCTCTAAATCTTTCCTATCCATTTATCTGTCCAAATGCCTTTTAAATATTGTAATTGTGCTCACTTCTACCACTTCTTCTGGCAGCTTGTTCCTGTGTGAAAAAGTTGCCCCTCAGGTCCCTTTTAAATCTTGCCCCTCTCACCTTAAACCTATGCCCTCTTGTTTTGGACTCCCCCACCCTTGGAGCCACAGGAAGATATTAGACCAGAAAGCCAAAAGCTTAATCAAAGAAGCAGGTTTATAAGGTACACCTTAAAGGCAGAAGCAGAGGCAGAGAAGTTTAGGGAGAGAGTTCAGAGCTTGAGGCTCAGGCAGATGATGGTACAGCCATCTTTGTTGGATCAATTAAGATGTTCAAAAGGTCAAAATTAGAGCAGCTTAATAATCTCAGCATCGTTGGGGGCTGGAAGAGATTCCAGAGGTAAAGAAGGGTTAGGCATTAGAGGAATTTAAAAACAAGGATAAGAATTTTAAAATCTAGATGTTGCTTCATTCAGGACATCTGCTCTGGGCTACAGAAAAACAAACAGTGGGAGAGAATATCCAGAGGTTGTCTCCACACTGGTACAAACGATTTAAGCAGAACTCCCTCCCTAAACTTCTCCAACTTTGTTTCCTCCTTTAAGATGTAACTTAAACAGTTCCTTCTTTTGATGAAACTTTTGGAAGCTTTTCAATGTCCATCACCAAGAGTGGCCTTGCAGCAGCACTACTGACTGGTCGGGTCCTAAAGGACATAGTTGCTAGCCTGGGTCTATGACAAGTGGTGATGGAACCAACAAGATGGAAAAAACACACTTGACCTCATCCATACCAATCGGCTGGCTGCAGATGCATTTGTTCATGACAGTATCAGTAACGGTGACTACCACACAGTCCTGAAGGAGATGAAGCCCCACCTTCACATTGAGAATAACCTCCATCATGTTGTGTGGCACTATCACTGTGCTAAATGAGACAGCCTTCAAACTAATCTAACAACTCAAGACTGAGCATCCATAAAATGCTACGGACCATCAATAGCAGCAGAATTGTACTCAACCACAATCCACAACCTCATTGCCTGGTATATCCCCAACTCAACCATTAGCATCAAGCCAGAGTATCAAGCCTGGTTCAATGGAGAGTGCAGGAGGGCATGCCAGGAGCAGCACCAGGCATACCTGAAGATGAGGTGTCAACCTGATGAAGTGACCAAACAGGGCTATTTGCATGCCAAACAGTATAAGCAGCAAATGCTAGTCAGAGCTAAGTAATCCCATAACCAATGGATCAGATCTAAGCTCTGCAGTCCTGCCACATCAAGTCATGAATGGTGGTGGACAATTAAACAACTAAATGGAGGAGAGGTTCCACAAATATCCCCATCCTCAATGATGGAAGACCCCAGCATATTAGTGCAAAAGATAAGGCTGAACCATTCACAACAATCTTCAGTCAGAAGTGCCAAGTGGATGATCCATCGCGGCCTCCTCCAGTGGTTCCCATCATTCCAGTTACCAGTCTTCAGCCAATTCGATTCGTTCCACATAAAGTCAAGAAATGGTTGCAGGCACTGAATAAACCCAAGGCTATGGCCTTGAAAACATTCTGGCAATAATACTAAAGATCTCTGCTCCAGAATTTGCCACTCCCCTAGCCAAGCCATTCCAGTACAGCTATAATACTGGCATCTAGCCATCAATGTGGAAAATTGTCCAGTTGAGTCCTGTACATAAAAAGCCAACCCAGCCAATTACCACCCATCAGTCTACTCTCAATCATCAGTAAAGTGATGGTAGGTGCCATCAACAGTGCTATCCAGCAGCACCTGCTCATCAATAATCTACTGTGACGCCCAGTATGCATTCCTCCAGGGCCACTCAGCTCCTGACCTCATTATAGCCTTGCTTCAAATATAGACAAAAGATCTGAATTCCAGAGGTGAGGTGAGAGTGACAGCCCTTGACATCAAGGCCATATTTGACCAAATGTGGCATCAGGGAGCCCTAGTAAAACTGGAATCAATGGGTATCAGGAGCAAACTCTCCACTAGTTAGTGTCATACCTTTCACATAGGAAGGTAGTCGTAGATGTTGGCAGACAATTATCTCAGCTCAAGAACTTCTTTGCAGGAGTTTGTCAGGGTAGTGTCCTAGGTCCAACCATCTTCAGCTGCTTCTACAATGACTTTCCCTCCATCATCAAGTCAGAAGTGCGGATGTTCACTGATAATTGCATAATGTTCAAAACTATTCGTGACTCCTCAGACACTGAAGCAGTCCATGTCCAAATACAGCAAGACCAAGACCATATCCAGACTTGGAATGAAAGTGGCAAGTAACATTCACGCCACACAAATGCCAAGCAATGACCACCTCCAATAAGAGTCAATCTAACTTTGATATCCAATGGTGTAGCCATCACCAATTCCCCACAATCAACATCCTGAAGTTACCGTTGACCAGAAACTCAACTGACTCGCCACGTAAACACAGTGGCTACAAGAGCTGGTCAGAGGCCAGCAATACTGCAGCAAGTAACTTCACCTGCTGACTCCCCAAAGCCTGTCCGCCATTTACAAGTCACAAGTCAGGAGTGTGATGGAATACTCCCCACTTGTCTGGATGGGTGGAGCTCCAAAAACACTTGAGAAACTTGACATCATCAAAGACAAAGCTGCCCACTTGATTGGCCCCACATCCACAAAAATCCACGCCCTGAACCATCAACAGTCAGTAGCAGCAGTGAGTACTATCTACAAGATGCACTATTGAAACATGCCAAAGATCCTTAGATAGAATTTTCCAAACCTGCAACCACTTCCATCTAGAAGGACAGAATATTGAACCTCGATAATGAGTTCATAGAATTCTTTAAAGGTAGTTTCTTAGATGAGCACATTCTGGATTCAAGGAAAGAATAGTTTAGACTAGAAATGAAATGTTGTAAAGGCCACATTTGGAGTATTGTGCGCAGTTTTAGGCCCCATATCTCAGGAAGGATATACTGGCCCTGGAGTGGGTTCAGACGGGGTTCACAAGAATGGTCCCAGGAATGAGAAGCTTAACATATGAGGAACGTTTGAGGACTCTGGGACTATACTCATTGGAGTTTAGAAGGATGAGGGGGGATCTAATTGAAACTTACAGGATACTGATTGGCCTGGACAGAGTGGATGTTGGGAAGATGCTTTCATTGGTAGGAGAGACTAGGACCTGAGGGCACAGCCTTAGAGTAAAGGGAAGACCTTTTAGAACGGAGATAAGGAGAAACTTCTTCAGCCAAAGAGTGGTGAATCTATGGAATTCACTGCCACAAAAGGCTGTGGAGGCCAGGTCATTGAGTACATTTAAGACTGAGATAGATAGGTTCTTGATTATCAAGGGGATCAAGGGTTACGGGGAGAAAGCAGGAGAATGGGTTTGAGGAACTTAACAGCCATAATTAAATAGCGGAGCAGACTCGATGGGCAAAGTGGCCTAATTTCTGCTCCTATGTCTTATGGTCTTATGAACAAGATTAATTAATGAGCTCAAATAAAGGCACTTTAGGCAGCAGTGACCACAAAATGTATTGTATGTACACCCAGTTTGAAAGGAAGAAGTGTGGGACTATGACTAGTATTTTAAACTCAAATAATGATAAATATCTTGGCATAAAAGCTGGTCTAGCTTAAATGAACTGTGATACCAGGCTAGAGGTTAGATCAATAGAGAAACAGTGAAAGACATTTAATACTACACATTGCTCAGAATAAATAATATAGCGTCATAGAGCCATACTGTAATACAGCATAGAAACAGGCCCTTTGCCCCAAACTGGTCCATGCTGACCATGGTGCCCACTCAGCTCGTTCCAATTGCCCAAATTTGGTCCATATCCGTCTAAACCCTTCCCATCCATGTACCTATTCAAATGTTTTTTAGATATTGCTATTGTACCTGCCTCAACCACTTTCTTTGGCAGCCCATTCCATATACGCAGCACTCTCTGCGTGAAGAAGTTGCCCCTCAGGTCCTTCTTAAATCTTTCCCCTCTCGCCTTAAACCTATGCCCTCTAGTTTTCAATTCCCTATTCCTGGGAAAAAGATATATGCGTTCATTCTATCTATGCTCTTGTGATTTTATACACCTCAATAAGGTCACCCCTCAATCTCCTATGTTCCAAGGAATAAAGTCCTGTCCTGGCCAACTTCTCCCTATAACTCAGGCCTACTAGTCCTGGCAACATCCTCGTAAATCTTCTTTGCACACTTTCCGGTTTAACTATGTCTTTCCTATAACAGTGTGACCAAAACTGTACACAATACTCCAAGTGCGACCTCACCAATGACTTATACAACTGTAATATAACATCCCAACTCCTATACTCAATGCCTCGACCTTTGAAGGCCAGCATGCTAAATGCCTTCTTCACCACCCTGTCCACCTGTGACACCGCTTTCAATGAACTATGTACTTGTACTCCTAGGTCCCTCTGTTCCACAACACTCCTCAGGATCTTACCATTTACTATATAAGTCCTACCCTGGTTTGACTTTCCAAAGTGCAACACCTCACACTTATCTGTATTGAATTGCATTTGCCAATCCTCAGACCACTTCCCCATCTGATCAAGATCCCTCTGTAATTTTTGATAACCTTCTTCACTATCAACTATACCTCCTAATTTTGTATCATCCACAAACTTACTAATCATGCCTTGTACAGTCACATCCAGATCATTTCTGTAAATAGCAAATAACAAAGGACCCAGCACTGATCCCTGTGGCACACCACTAGTCACAGGCCTCCAGTCCGAGAAACAACCTTCAACCATCACCCTCTGCTTCTTACCATCAAGCCAGTTTTGAATCCAATTAGCTAGCTCTCCCTGGATCCCATGCAACCTAACTTCATGACAAGCCTGCCATGCGGGACCTTGTCAAAGACCTTACTAAAGTCCATATAGACAACATCCACTGCCTTACCCTCATCTATCCTTTTGGTCATCTCTTCAAAAAACTCTAAAAGATTTGTCAGATGTTACTTCCTGCGCACAAGAGAAAATCCTTTGGAGGAACCTACCATCCATAGTTAACTAAAGAAATTAGGAAAACATCAAACTTAAGGAAAAAGCATTATTGTGTTCAGCTCAGTCATAAAGAATGGCAGAAAATTACCAAATGGTTAGTAAGGATGAAGAAATTAGAGCGGGCACTCTCAACCTAGAGTATGAGAGGAAGCTAACTAGAAACATATAAAGGGATAGCCAGAGTTTTTTTTAACAGGTATTTAGAAAGGAAAAGTTTAAATAAAATTAGTGTCTAGAGAATGAGAACAGGGAGCTGTTAGTAGATAATAAGGAAATGGCAGGTGAAATGAGCAAATAGTTTGCTTTGTCTTCACTATAGAGGATATAAAAACATTTCAGTAATCAAAGTAAATCAGGGGATGGAAGGCAGAGAAGAGTTTGTCAAATTACAATAATGAGGGAAGTGGTACTGAGCACACTGAAGGAGCTGTGGGCTTGACAAGTTTCTGCATCTGGATGGACTTCATCCTAGGCCCTCTAAAGAGGTGGCTAATGAGGTAGTAGCTGCGTTGGTGTTAATTTTCCAAACTCTGTTAGTTTAGGAAAGGTCCATCAGACTGGAATGCAGCAAATATAACTTGTCTTTAAAAGAAGGGAGGGAGACAGAAAACAAGAACGTATAGGTTCATGAGCTTGATATCTGTTGTAGGGTTGGAGTTAGAATCAATCATTAGAGTGATTGCAGCTGGGCACTTGGAAATACCGAAGGTAATTGGGAAGAGTCAGCATGGTTTTGTGAAAGGAAAGTCATGTTTATCCAAATGATTGGAGTTCTTCTAATGAATAACATGTGTTTAGGATAAAGGGGAGTCGGTAGATGGACTGTGCTTTGATTTCCAGAAAGCATTTGACATGGTGTTACATCAAAGGTTATTGTACAAAATAGAAGCACATGATGTAGGGGTAACATATTAGCAAGGTTGGATTGTTAGCTGGCTGGCTGAAAACAAAGTATGTATAAATGGGTCTTTTTCTGATTGGCAGGATGTTGCAAAGAATCCTGTTTTTACACTTTATATCAATGACATAGATGATGGAAACAAAGATAGCTAAATTTGCAGATGACGGTAAGGTGGGTAGGATAGTTATGTTGTGCAGGAGACAGAAGAAAGTTGCAGACAGATGTTGCTGATTGAGTGAGTGGGCAAAAATCTGGCAGATGGAGTATCATGTGGGAAAATGTAAAATTGTGCTCATTGATGGAAAGAATAAAAAAGCATCTTATTACTTAAATGGAGAACAACTGGAATTCTGAAATGCCAAAGCACTTGTATGTTCTAGCGCATGAATCACAAAAAGTTAGTATGCAGGGACAGCAAGTAATTTTTAAAAACTAATGAAAGACCAACCTTTAATATGAAAAGAATTGTACGTAAAAGTAAGGAGGTTATGCTTCATTTATCTAGGGTGCTGGTGAGACTATGTCTTGAATACCTTGTATAGTTTTGGCCTCCTTAAAGGATGTAAATTTGTTGTAGTAGTTCAGAAGCAGTTTTACCATATACCTGATTGGAATAAGCAGGTTGTTTTGTAAGGGAAGATTGGACAGACTGGACTTGACTGGAAGTTTTCACTGGAATTTAGAAGAGTGTGGGGTGACTTGTTTGAAGTTACAAGGTCCTGAACAGTCTTAAAAAGGTGGAGATGGAAATAATATTTCCTCTTGTGGGTGAGTTCTGAACTAGGGAACACTTTTTTAAAATTAGGGCTACAATTTTAGGTCAGAGATGAGGTGAATTTCTTTTTCTGAGGGTTGTGTAACTTTGTAACTGTGCCTCAGAAGGCGGTGGAAGTGGGATCATTGAATATTTCTAAGGTGGAGATAGGTAGTTTCTCAGAAGGCAGGGAATCAGTGTTGTCAGGAGTAGATGGGAACATGAAATTTGAAACACAAACAGATCAGTCATAGATAGTAGGAACTGCCGATGCTGGAGTCTGAGATGACAAGGTGTAGAGCTGGATGAACACAGCAGGCCAGGCAGCATCAGAGGAGCAGGAAAGCTGATGTTTCGGGTCTGGACCCTTCTTCAGAAATGGGGGAGGGGAGGGGAAGGGGGCTTTGAAATAAATAGAGAGAGGGGGATGCGATGATAGATGGTGGATAGAGGAGCAGATAGATGAAGAGAAGATGAACAGGTCAAGGAGGCGGGGATGAAGCCAGTAAAGGTGAGTGTAGGTAGGGAGTTAGGATGGGGGTTGCTCAGTGAGGAGGGAGGTGTGGGTAGGTGGGAGGGAAGATGTACAGGTCCATCGTACTGTCCATTTCCCTCCCACCTCACTGACCAACGCCCACCCCCACTTCCTACCTACTAGCCTCAACCTACAGCCAGGGACTGGGATGCAGGTGGCAGTGACAAAATCAAACACCCCAATCTTTAAGTGGAAGACACTTTTTTTTTCATACAATACTGGATGTCAAACAAGAAGCTTGACAATTTGGTGAAATTGAGGGAGATGGAGGGATGGTAGAATTGATTGACATTCACAAACGTATGTGTACTTTTGGGTGATATTGCTAAAGGATAGCAATGTAGGTGAGAAATAGGATAACAGCTAGGCTGGGTCCTTGGGGGAATACCAAAGGTAACAAGAAGTGGAAGGATCATGAAGTGTCAGGATAACAACACCAACTTATACCAATGTCCATATGTTGAATTAGACAGCAAAAAGACTTTCAGCGATTTACAAGGGTTATATTATAAAACCATAGTATAGCATAACAATCATTTTCCATTCCACTGGGGAAGAATTCTACTCTTTATTTTAAACAAACTAAATTAAACAAGAAACAAAAGCTGCCTGCTAGAGGCATTACAAAGTTAACCAAAACTTTAGTTCTGGTCAGCGAATTTGCAACAAGTCCTACATTTCTGGCCACTAGTTTTCACTGAGTGGAAGAGAAGTCCCAGTGCCAAAAAAAATCAATTCTCCAATTCACAGTCCCACAAAGCAAGATCCTGCAACACAACAGAAACTCTCAAGGTGCTTGTCGTTTCTTTTTCGTGTATCGAGAAAACTCAAAGCAGGCTTTAATTAAAATAACATGTTTGTCTAAACAGGTGACTTCAGTGGATTCGAACAATTTTTGCAATGTCTTTGAAAACCAGCCACTTGTTTTTCTTTGACCAGGTAAGAAAATGACAGATTCTTTAAAGTCAATTAAAGCAATCAACAGGGTCCCACAGTGAGAATCCAATTTTCTCCCAATAGGCAAGTTATAGGAATTTTAAAAAACCACGGAAACAGCCAGGAAAAAAAGATTTTGAAGCACTTACTCCACCCAAAGGTCAACAAACAGTTAACCTAGCTCGCAGGTAAGACAGTCAACGTTGACTTAGTTTGCAGATAAGATGGCCACAGTTAAATTTAGTTTACAGCTGAGGTGGTCACAGTTGACTTTTTGTACGCAAGTAAAATAGCTGAAGTTCAGCAGTCAGCCCTGGAATAGCATTCATTCAATCACATAAAGAATCACTGCGGCATTAAGGATACAGACTTGGTCTGGGTTCGAATCCCAGCATGGCAGATGGTGAAATTTGAATATAACAAAGAAGCTAGTCTGATAGTGACAGTGTTTCCATTGTCAGTTGTTATAAACACCCATCTAGTTCACTTTAGGGAAGGCTCAGTGGTTAGCACTGCTGCCTCACAGTGCCAGGATTTGATTCCCACCCTCAGGCGACTGTCTGTGTGGAGTTTGCATGTTCTCGCCGTGTCCTCTGGGTGCTCTGGTTTCCTCCCATGGTCCAAAGATGTGCGGGTTAGGTGGATTGGTCATGGTAAATACACGGTTACCAGGATAGGGCCTGGGTGGTATGTTCTTCGGAGGGTCGGTGCAGATCAATGGGCCAAACGGCCTCTTCCTGCACTGTCAGGGATTCTATCATTGGATGAAATCTACCATCGTGGGCCTGGCCTACACATGACTCCAAACCCACAGGTTCTCTGGGCAGTTGTGGATGAAGGGACAATAAATGTTGGCCTAACCAGTGACACACACATCACCATAAATTAACTATAACCAGAAAAGATGAGTTGAAAGCTTCATTGCTGAGGTTTGCAGAGATAGGAGGTGGCCTCTGTGAATGAGGTAGTTGGAAGATCTGTGCTGTAAGCACCAGTTGGTGGTGCTGGTTTTAAGGTCTGGGATATAAATTGACTTTTTAACCAATTTGTCTCTGCCATTACTTTCAGCCCACAAAAGACCAAAAAACGTTTGCCAGCCTCGGCAGTTTTAACTGAGCAAAAGGCAGTGGATGTTGCTCAGGCCCGTAACCGGCCCGGCTCAGGAGCCAGTGTGCTCAATGTCTTCATTTCCTCGCTTGCGGATGAAGTTGAGCATGTGCAGTATTTTGAGAACCTGCAAGCTGCCACCCCTTTCCTGTTGACCGAGATTGATGGAATGATTCTTCATTGCAAGATCGCTGGAATCCCCTTCCCCCGGGGCCTGGAGAACATCTTGAACTACAGCTGGAACGATCTCATCAACGACGTGTCCTACAAAAGGAAGCAGTGGCCGACGGCAGCTTGTAAGAGAACCTGTGTGCCCAAGAAGCCCCCGCAGAAGCTGAGCCGGGCCCATGGCAGTGTAACATCGGCCAGCACCATAACTAACAGCAGTAGAACCAGAACCAGATCAGCGCCCATATCAGAGGAGCTGAAAGAGAAACCGAACATCAAGGTGAATCAGAGACACGTTTCACGCAGCACTGTCAAAGGTAAGTCAATCACTGAAGTAAGATAGACTCACATTTATATTGTGTTGTTCGCACCCCTCCCCCACACACCCAAGAACATCACAAAGCATCTTGCAGACCATGGAGTACATTTGTATTGTTGTCGTTGTTGTGATGTAGGAAACACATTGGTGCCTGGCAAGCTCCCATAAACAGCAATTGACCAGGCTCTTTGTTTTATCCACCCATTGTTAGCCACTAACACTCCCCATTAACAGCTATTCCCCCTCCCAGCCTGGGATTTTTTGCCTCCACCTGAGGGAGCAGACAGGGCCTTGATTAAATTCCTCAGCCAGGGCCTTGATTAAATATCTCAGCCTGGGCCCAGTATCTCTGACAGTGAAGCATTCACTCAGGACTGCACTGGATTGTCAGCTTAGATGTTTGTGCTCAAGCCTCTAGAATTTCAAACACAAAATCTTCTGCCGCTAAGCCAAATCGAAAAGATAGATTGGGACAGATACAGAATTGAGAAATGCAGAAACAGGAGACAGTTCTGGGAAGAAGCATTGCTAATCACAGACAATGGAGAGCAGCAAGTTCAGGGATGAAAGGGAAACAGGACTTGATGCAAAGTTAAACATGGGCATGAGAGTTTTGGAGAAGCTACAGATAACTGAACCTTAGAGACTGGTCCAGGGCCTATTGGAATGGTTGAGTCTGCAGTTAACAAAGGCATAAATGAAGATTTCAGATAGGCTGAGGCAGAAATGGGTCATATCACAGAGGTGGAATTAGATGGAGGCAAGAGAGAACAAATTGGCGATGGGGCCAACCTACTTACACTTGGAGAAGGGGAGAAACCACTCACTCAGCATGTGTAGAGAATTGGCACTGAGGTACACAGAGCATTGGACAATCCTTCCCTCACCATCTCTAATCGGTGTTTTCCTTTAATTTGTTTGTGGGATGTGGGCAATGCTGGCTAGACCAATGTTACCCATCCTTAATTGCCTTTGAGAAGATAGTTGTGAATCACCTTCAAGAACTGCTACAGTCCATAAGGTGTAGGACTACCAATTGTGGTGCTGTGATGGAGTTCCAGGATTTTGACCCAGCAATATTGAAGGAATGGTGATATATCTCCAGGTCAAGATGGTGAGTAGCTTGGAGGGGAACAAGCCACTCACCGTCTTGACCTGCTGCTCTTGTCCTTCTAGATGTGAGAGGGTTTGGAACGTGCTGTCCAAGGAACCTTGGTGAGTCATAGAATCCCTACAGTGTGGAAACAGGCCCTTCGGCCCAACAAGTCCACACTGACCCTCACAACATCCCACCCAGACCCATCCCCCATAACCCACCTAACCTACACATCCCTGGATACTATGGGAAATTTAGCATGGCCAGTCCACCTAGCCTGCACATTTTTGGACTGTGGGAGGAAACTGGACTACCCGGAGGAAACCCACACAGACACAGGGAGAATGTGCAAACTCCACACAGACAGTCGCCCGAGAGTGGAATCGAACCCAGGTCCCTGGCAGGGCTAACCACTGAGCCACCGTGCCGCCCCAGTCTTTGCAGTGCACCTTGTAGATTTACACACTGCTGTATTGAGTCCAACACACATCCTGACCATGAGCTGTCCTGCTTTTTTAAAATCATTTCCTATTCCAAATCCAAAGTTCTGCCCATAAAGCATTAATGTCTGAGCCCAACTGGTTGTTTTTGTGTAGCCTTCAGCCCTATGTGAGACAGTGAGGATTCATCCATCTGATAGGTAAAAGACCCTTGCTGTTTACAGATCACCTTGCGAAGGGGCCTATCTGGATCACACACTAGATTAGAATAAGTCTTCATGGAAGAAAGGGTCAGAGGTCACCTGTCAGTAAAGTGAAATGACTAGTGTTATTCCTTTAGCACTGACAGCAGAACCCAGCCCATATCCTGCAGAAAGCTCACAGAAAGCTTCTTACATGGTTACTGAAAACAGCTCTTCACTCATTACTCACCAGCTCTTTGGGTAAAACGATATCAGTATTTTTTATAGAACTGCTTCACAAGCTGAATCAGCTGGACTGAACATGTTGATTAAGAGCTTGTGTGTCTTTATTAAAGGACACCCTTTACTTAAATGAACTGAATACGTTCAACCCCCACCAGGTGAGATCATTCACAAACACTAAATGCTGCTATTTGCATGTGTAGATCAGTTATTATTGACAATGATTTTACAAATGACTCCAGGGTCTTCATCTCCATTCCTTTATCTTGAGGTTTATTTCACACATTGATCGTTCCTCCTGTGAAGACAAAGTTCCTGATCTTAGTCATAGTCATAGAGTCATACGCCATACAAACAGGTCCTTCAGCCCACTGTGCCTATGCCTTCTGACAAACACCAAACTACACTGATCCCATTTCACTGCACTTGGCCCATAGCCTTCTATGCCCTGGCATTTTAAGTGCTCATCCAGATGCTTCTAAATGTTGTGAGAGTAGCTGCCTGCACCATGCTCTCAGGCAGCACTTTCCATATTTCTACCACCCTCTGGGTGAACACATTTTTTTCTCAGATCTTCCTCTAACCCGTGTGCTCCTCACCTTAGACTTATGTCCTCTAGTCTTGGACACGCCTGCCATCAGGAAAAGATTCTGTCCCCATCTCTCATAATTTTGTATACCTCGATCAGATCCTCTTCAGCTTCCTCTGCTCCAAGCAAACCAAACCCAACCTATCCAGTCTCTCGTCATAACTGAGACTTTTCATCCCAGCATCATCCTGGAATCTCCTCTGCACCTTCTCCAGTGCAATCACATCCTTCTGCACAGTGTATTCCATCTGTGGCCTAACCAATGTTTTAAAAAGTTGTAATAGACGTCCTTGCTCATATATTCTACACCACAGCTGATGAAGGCAAGCATCCTAAATACCTTCTTCACCACCCCATCTTCCTACACTGATACCTTCAGGGATATGGACATGTACTCCAAGGTCTTGTTGTACTTCTGTACTCCCTAGGTACCTACCATTTATTGTGTATATCATTCCTTTATTAGACCTCCCAAAATGCATCACCCACATTTATCAGGATTAAAATCCATCTACCATTGCTCTGCCCAATTTACCAGCTGATCAATATCAGACTGTACCCTGAGAGCATCCTCCTCATTATCAAAAACACCACCAATTCTCATGTCATGTGCAAACATATTAATTGATTACTTCTGCATTTGCATCAAACCGTCAATGTACATAACAAACAGCAAGGGCACCAGCACCGATCCTTGTGATACACTGCTGGCAACAGGCTTCCAATCACAAAAATAACCTTCCACCATCACCCTCTGTCCCCTATTTGCAAGCCAATGTAAGGATCCAGTTTTCCAACTTGCCTCAGATCCTATGGGCTCTTACCTTTTGGACCAGTCTTGCATGTGGGACCTTTTTAAAGGTCTTACTGAAGTCCAAGTAAACCACATCAACTGCATTACCCTCATCAGTGTGTTTAGTCGCTTTTTCAAAAAACTCAACTAAGTTAGTCTGACAGGATCTCCCTCTAACAAATCTGTGCTGACTATCCCTGATCAATCTCTGACTTTCCAAGTGTTGATTAATCCTCAGGAATTTTTTTCCAATAATTTTCCATTTTTTTCCCTACCACTGATGTCAGACTAACTGCTCTGTAATTATCTGGCCTACCCCTGCTGCCCTACTTGAACAAAGGAAACACATTAGCTATCCTCCAGTCAGTGTAGTGTTAAATACAACAAAAAGACAGAAATTGCTGGGAAAACTCAGCAGGTCTGGCAATATCCGTAGAGAGAAAGCAGAGTTAAAGCTAAGTTGATTCCAGTCACTCTTCTTCAAAACTGAAGTGTTAAATATCTTTGCTATGGCTCGGGCAATCTCCTCCCTTGCCTCCCATAGCACCCAGGATTTACGCACCTTTCTGCCAGCTAAAACATCTAATGCCTCCTCCTTATTAATCCTAACAAACTCTAGAACCTCACCATCCCAAATGAAAATTCCAACTTCTATGTCCTTCTCCTTTGTGAATATAGATGAGAAATATTCATTTAAGACTTCACCCTCATCATCTGCATTCTAATAGGCCCCACTCTTTCCCGGTAATCCTCTCACCCTTAATCTATTTAAAAGTTGCCTTGGGGTTTTCCTTAGTCCCATCTGCCAAATTTATTTTGTGGCCCCTCTTTGCCCTCCTAATATCTTTTTTAAGCAACCCCCTGCACTCTCTATACTTTTGAAGGGCCTCTCTGGTTTTAATGCTCTGTACCAGACATATGCTTCCTCATTTTTCTTTACCAAACTCTCCATATGGCTTGACATCCAGGGGTCTTTGGATTTCCTGCCCATGCACTTCACTCGTAGAGGAACACACTGGCCCTGAACTCTCACTGTACTACTTTTAAAAGACTCTCAATTTCCCCCAAATATACACTTACCTGCAAGTAGCTGCTCCCAGTCCATGTTTGCCAGATCCTGTCTCATGGTATTGAAATTGGCCTCCCCTCAATTTAGACAATTAACTTCTACACTATCCTTATTCTTTTCCGTAATGACTTTGAAACTTACAGAGTTATGGTCACTATTCCCAAAATGCTCATTAACTGACACTTCAAACACTTGACCGGCTTCATTCCCTAGGATTAGGACTAGCACTGCCCCATCTCTAGTAGGACTATCTACTATGTACTGTGCACAAAAAACTCTCCTGGATGCACTTTAAAAATTCCGTCATGAATCCTTTAACACCAAGCGATCCCAATTTACATTAGCAAAGCTGAAATCCCTACTACAGGTAGTTCTGCTATAACACATGTTTCATTAACACAAAATGGCTGTAATGCAATTGATGAATAGTGGATGCAATTTGGATAACACAAACTTTCTGCTGTACAGTTATATAGCGATTTCCCTAAAACGTGATTTTCGAAGGTGATTTTCTATAGCACGAGGTTACACCTTTTTGTGATTTCCCTACATATCTGCCCTCTGACGGCTGGAAGGTCTAAAGTAT